GTACTGAAAACTGCGAAGTATTGATGAAAGACATCAAACAAGACCTAAATAAACACAGAGAAATTAGCATGTTCACGGATTGGAAGACTTATTACTAAGCTGTCACTGCTCCCCAAACTGATCTATAGATTCAACACAACCTCAGTAAAAAAATAATAGGAGGTTTTTTTCATATAAAAATTAACAAGCTATTCTAAAATTTATATGGCAAAATCAAAGGAACTAGAATCATCAAAAAAAAATTTTAAGAATGCAAAGTTTTAAGCCTCACATTCCTTGATTTCCAGACTTACTATCAAGTTACAAGAACCAAGACAGTGTGATATTAGAAAAAGGACAGATATGTAAAACACACGACAGAGTCCGGAAATAGACCCATACATATATATATGTGGTTAATCAATTTTCAACAAACATGTCAAGTCAATTCAATGTAGGAAAGTTAGTCTTTTCCGTAAATTGTGCTGGAGCAATTGGACAGCCATATGCAAAAAAAAAAAAAAAAAGAATAAAAAAGCCTTGCCCCATACCTCACACCATATACAAAATGTCGCTTGAAATGGTCATGTACCTAAATGTAAACACAAAACCTGCGAAATTTCTAGAAAATATTTTTGATGTTGGGTTAGGCAAAAATTTCTTAGATAAAACACAAAAGGCACAAACCACAAAAGAAAAAGAAATGAATTAGACTTCATCAAAATTAAAAACTTCTGTTCCCCAAAAGACAGTGTTTAATGAATGAAAAATAAGCCAGACTGAAAGAAAAAAATTTTATCTAGAATTTATAAGAAACTCTCACAACTCAATTGACAGTTTGGTTGAGCACTGGGAACTGAAACTTGGCAGGCTTCCTTGGTCGGCGTGCGCATGGAAGAAATAAGACTACCTGCGGGAAGAATCCTGGAAACCTATGAAGGAGTCTTGGCCAGTTTGGCGTCATCACTGCAGACCAGCATCTTCTTCCACTATGTGGAACCCATTCCAACAGCGACACCATGTGGCAGTGAGAAGCAAATGCAACAGTACCAAATTGGTCCCTGTACTCTCGCAGGTTGGGTGTGAAAGCTGAACCTAAACTTTTGGGGACTGCATTGAGTCTCTAGAGTTCTTGGACAATTCTAGAAGTGGAGACGACCTCAAAGGTGGGAGATTCTGGATTTCTGCTAATTAGTTAGGTGGGTATTCAAAAAATTAATTAGAAAAGTAAAAGAGAAGTAACAGTTCTTGTACCTGAGCTTGTGAAGCATTTCCTATTAGATGTTACCATAAATAGCACAACTATATGGTAACTTTATATATCTCTGTAGTTTAAATTTATAAGAATTTGTATTCATTTTCTATTGCTACCATGACAAATTATCACAAACTTAGTGGCTAAAACAAGTTTATTATCTTACAGTTCCACAGGTCAGAGGTCTGATGGGGGTCTCAATAAAATCCAGGGCTCTGTTCCTTTCTGGAGGGTCTAGGGGAGAATCTATTTCCTTGCTCATTCGAGTTGGTGGCAAAATTTAGTCCCTTGCAGTCGTGGATCTGAGAACCCCGTTTCCTAGCTGGCTGTCAACTGAGGGCCATTCCTGGTGTCTAGAGGCCACCCACATTCCTCAGCTCGCAGCTCTCCTCTTCCTTCTTCAAAGCCAGCAGTGGCAGTTTGAGGCCACCTCTCTGGGAATCTCTCTGACTCGCTCTTCTCCCACCTCCCCCACTTTTAAGGATTCATGTGATTAGATTCTAGGACCCTCAAAGACAACCATGGATAATTTCCCCATCTTAAGGTCTCTAACTTGGATCACATCTGCAAAGTCCCACTTGTCATGTAAGGTTATATATTCACAGGTTCTGGGGATGAGGCTGTGGACATTTTTGGGGGCCATTACTCTGCCTACCTAGATATTTTTTTTTTAATAGTTAAAAATCTCATCTTAAAAATGTCTTGACTTTCCTACGGAGAAAAGCCACACTTTTTAGGATTGCATTTACCCAATCATTCATAACGTTTCCTTCTGCCTGGTTCCTTATTCCCCTCCATTCATCCTATACTAGATTTAACCCGGGGTCAAGGATGGGGTTTCAATAAATGTCCTGAAGCAGTGTGCAAAATTTCACATGTATGCTTATTTTTCTGGGTAAGTTCCAGAGTTTAGATCAGACTCTCACAGTACTCTGTGAAAGACCTTCCTCGGGGGGGGGGGGGGGGACCAACTACAAAAGTGTTTGTAAATAAGTGTGTTGCTTTCACACAACATACATTTTCATTTGCCCACATTTCTATGCATCTTGTTCCATGAGACTGGGTGATGTAGTGGAAAGAGGACAGGCTTTGGATTTCCCTTAGGTATCCGATTCAAGGTACAACTGGCTAAGTGGGGATGGCATTTATCTAATAAGAAATAATGAAGTGTATCAAGCTTGACAGGGAGCCACCAAGATGGGAGCAATTCAGGACATGTTAAGTTTGATGAACCATCAAGACAGCCAAAAAATCAAGGGGAGATCATCTTAGCCAAGGAAATCTAAGAAAGATAGTCATATTGTCCACAATAAAATTAAAAGTTTGGATATGATAAAAGCTACCATAATCTATGTGGATGGACAACAAAATAAGGGGAAATTTTGTCACACACATAGCAGATTATCTATCAACAAGAAAAAGTCAACCCTATAGAACAGAAATTAAATTTTCACAGAAAACTGCAAAATCAAATAAAAAATCACTTTATTCCTTTTAAACTTTTTTTTTATAATTTTTTATTTATTTTTCCCCCAAAGCCCCAGTAGATAGTTGTATGTCATAACTGCACATCCTTCTAGTTGCTGTATGTGGGACGCTGCCTCAGCATGGCCGGACAAGCGGTGCGTCGGTGCGCGCCCAGGATCCGAACCCGGGCTGCCAGTAGCGGAGCGCACGCACTTAACCGCTAAGCCACGGGGCCAGCCCAATCACTTTATTCCTAACAGCCAAAAATGTTGTCCATATGTGGATGCATAAGACCCTATTTACTTGGAAGGGGAAGTGGGCTGACTGCAAAGGGACACAGGGGAACTCTCTTGGGGGGATGGAAATGTTCCTTATCTTGGTTACACAATTGAATCTATTTGTCATAACTCCTTGAACTGTACACTTACAATAGATTAATTTTACTGAATGTAAATTATACCTCATTAGCATATTTTAATATGTAAAGATACATCCTACGTTATTAACATGGATTGGGAGGGATGTGATGGGGAAGAAGAGAAAGCCAGGCAAAAAGGTAAAAAATAAAACTATTCTATTTAAAAATTGTGTATATGATCCCATTTCTGCATTTATGAAAAATCATATCTGTATGCATAAAAGAGCTTGTCAGCAGGGCCGGCCCCGTGGCGTAGCGGTTAAGCACGCACGCTCCACTGCTGGCGGCCCGGGGTTCAGATCCCGGGCGCGCACCAATGCACCGCTTGTCAGGCCATGCTGAGGTGGCATCCCACATAAAGTGGAGGAAGATAGGCATGGATGTTAGCTCAGGGCCAGTCATCCTCAGCAAAAAGAGGAGGATTGGCATGGACGTTAGCTCAGGGCTGATATTCCTCACACACACACAAAAAAAGCTTGTCAACTCTCCAATACTGCAACACTGCAATCCAATATTTGTATCCTTGGCGTCTTCAAACTCGGGCAGAGCAGGCAATGGAAGCCAGATGGTTAACAGATTGTCAAAGAGGAGGAGGGGGAGGAGGAGGGAGACTGTAGCAAATTAACAGTGTTGGTTAAATTGTGTAGTTTACCTTTGGGGCAGCAATGAAGAATGAAAGAGCTATGAGGTATTCTGTAAATATTATAACTGGCCTCAGGATATTTCCAGGACTAAGTCCCAGCCTGTCTGTTTAAAATGATCCTGTTCCTGAGGGAATTCACACATAGGGAACAGCAGCAGCTCTTGGACAAACACAGGGTGACATCCGCTTTTCTGGAAGAAGCCAGTCTTGGCATGGGCTGACTGTGCCTCACAGGTAGCCCACAGGAGCAAACGGCCCGTGTGAGCAGACAGACAGCGAGGCTGAGCGGTGAAGGAAACTCCAGCTTTTCTGGAAATCAGCCTGGGCCTCTGTTGAGTATACAACTGTTCATACCAAAATGAAAATACTGCCACCCCGCTAGTTTTAATAATTAGTAATAATGTATATGCACAGAATACAGCACGAAACATGTACTCAAGGAGTGATAGTTATATTATTATTCCTCTGCCTAGACAGGACTCTGAAACATACCAGGCAATCACAAAACAGCTGTTGGATGGATAAACAGACAGATGAATGGATGGGTGGATGAAAAAACCTATGAACAAATAGTTAATTCCAGTGAACGCCTATTTTTCCCGAACAGAGCTTAAACATCATTTCCTTGGGGAAGCTACCTTCATCCCAAGCTACACTCACTTTCTCACTTCACATTGCAGGTTTCAGAGCCAGACTGCCTGTGCTTGAATCTCAGCTCCACTACCCACTGCACCTTCGGGCAAATCACAAACTCTACTCAGCCTCCTCAACTATAAAACGGGGCTTAACCACAGGATCTACCTCACAGAGTTCCTGTAAAGATTAAAAGGGTTAACACAAAAATATATTTATTAGACTGCCTGGCACACAGTAAGCATTTAATAAACATGAGCAACTGTTATAATACTACATACCACATTTGACAAATTATTTACTTGTGGAGCCACTGAAAATAAGGTCCATGAGAGCAGGAACTTAGGTGTGTCCTGTGACTGTGCCCTGGGATCTAGCAGGCATTCAATAAACGGTTGTTGAATGCATACCTACCTACCAAAGTGCCACAATTACGCATATATTATTTTTTTCCCCCAAATTAAGAAGAGGGCCTTGCAAACAGTACACGCACGAGAGAAGTTTGTTGATGAAGAAATGAATGGAGATGAGCAGATGGAAAGTGATTTCAGACTTCTGGCGGTACTACATCAAGGAGGCAAAAAAGTGATTTACGAATATTTCAGTTCATCTTTATAAACTTTTTATTTGAAAAATAAAATTATAAACAAAATACAGAAAAATATTGACACCTGTGACAACAAGGAAATGACTCCTAATCTTTAGAGCAGTTTGTTATCGTGGAAGAACAAAACCATGAGTTTTATAAAGAAATTTTACTGTGCAAAGGAGGAATGTACTTTTTAAGTTCATTTATAATAGGTATTGGGCATTGACCAAAAAAGTATTTCTATGTATACATTCAACATTTTGTAACATATTTACACTCAAGTTACATTTTCAAATTCTATGCCAAATACAGTCTAATTCACCATCAAAAATCCCTACATTACTAGAATTCTGCTTATTTGATAGTACAGTATGATTTTATTAGAAAATAATTTTATGTTCCTACTAGATCAATGAGATTTCAACAAAATTCACTGACCGTTTCTTCCCAGTTGAAGTCAAGCCTCTTCTAGACAAATTAAACACTAACTGAAATGTGGCCAGTAACAGAGTTATAGTAATTTTTTTCCTCCCTCCTTAGAGACCTTATTAAAACTTTGAATGGAAGGACACTGGCTCTGATAAATTACTTCCCCTTTTATAGTAGTTAGGACATATTATGGATATAAGTTGCAGAATTTTCACTTGTTTTGCTGAAGCACTTTTCCCTTTCAGTTGTTACCAAATTCCTCACCAAAATAAAACACATTAAGAAACCCACAGAGTTTTCTGAAAACTTTTCTTCATTTTCCCCACACATTTCCCAAATCAGATAATTTATTCATTAACAATTTGTGAATTTGTTGCTTAGTTTTTCTAAATTACACTAGGGTAGCTATCCTCATTTCCTGATAATCTTACCATTTCATTTTTTAAATTATGATTTTATTAAAATCAACATAAATTACAAAAAGCTTTCATCTTTGCTATGGTTCTCTGAGAAATTTATCTGAACTTACTGAAGGGTCGAGATTCCACGGGGTCTGTCCATCTAGGCTTGGCAAACAATTGTCCAGATTTGAAAATTCTATGCCTCTAAGAGATTCCAGAAAAATCAAATCTATCCACAATTCTTTCTTAATTATCTCCAATTAAGTTCATTTTTTAAAGTGTAGTAAGATAATTAATGACAAAACAATGGAGACAGATGACTTTCATTTAGTTGAGCTCTTTCCTTCTCACTTTCTTCAGGTTGTAACTTCTCCTCCAGTACAGGATGGCTGGCAGTTGGCAGTGGGCTGCTGAGTTGACACCACTTCCAACTCAGATTCACGAACAAAAACCACTGCATCACCACTTACGTTTATAAGACATTGTGCCTATGAGAACAACAGGACGTGTTCGGTCACAAACTCAACAATATGCTCATATTCTTCTGTTATATCAGGGGCAGTGCTATACAGCTGAAAAAGCACAGGCTTATAAGTCATTAGAGAAAAGACAGACAACCCAATAGAAAAAATGAAGGCAATTCACAGCAAAGAAAACTGAGAAAAACCCATTAATACAGTTATTTAATTTTTTTTTTTTACAGGGAAAGATTCGCCCTTAGCTAACATCTATTGCCAATCTTCCTCTTTTTTTTTCCTCCTCCCCAAAGCCCCAGTGCACGGCTGTATATCCTAGTTGTAAGTCATCTGCGTTTTTCTATGTGAGCCGCCCCCGCAGCATGGCAACTGACAGATGGGTGGTACGGGAGGGAAGTGAACCCGGCCTGCTGAAGCGGTGAGCAACGAACTTGAACCACTAGTTCATCAGGGCTGGCTCACAGTTATTTAATTTTTTAAAGGAATCTTTAACAACTTTTTTTTTTAATAATTTTTTATTTATTTATTTTTTTCCCCCAAAGCCCCAGTAGATAGTTGTATGTCATAGCTGCACATCCCTCTAGTTGCTGTACGTGGGACGCGGCCTCAGCATAGCCGGAGAAGTGGTGCGTCGGTGTGCGCCCGGGATCCGAACCCGGGCCGCCAGCAGTGGAGCACGTGCACCCAACCGCCAAGCCACGGGGCCGGCCCATGGAATCGTTAACAATTTTAAGTGAGTTATTATGTTAACAAAACTGATAAAAGAAATTTACCCTAAAATTTAACCTAAGCAACACTTCTTTGCCCCTATTAACAGAATTATATTAATTAATAGACATAAACAAATAGTGTAGTCCCATCATGGCAGTTAGAACTGGACAGCATCATAGTCCAAACTAGACGGCGTCTAACTCTCCTCAGTTAGCCATCACTGTACAGTCAAGCATTGCCTAATGACAGGGATATGTTGTGAGAAATGTGTCGTTAGGTGATTTCATTGTTGTGTGAACATCACAGAGTGTACTGAAGAGGAACAAAATTTGCCGCCCCAAAGTGTGTCTCTTTAACATGAGGATTATTTTAGGCTAATGATTTTTAAGAAACAAAAGACTCACCAAGTTTTTCTTGTTACCTTCCCCTTAACCACCTAAAAGAATTCAGATTAAAAAACCTGTCTCAGGAAGTGAGCGATCATGTCAGCATAACATGAACTAGGTGGTAGACAGGAAGGAACCTCGAAAAGCCTATTTGTTGGGCTCCCCTATGTGGTCTTCTGTTTCTGTGTGGCCAAACACTTGTTTTCCAAAAGTTTGCTCCTTTTCACCTACCTGTGAATTGCCTTCCTTCCCTTTGAAGTCCCTGACTCTCCCCACCCCAACATCTTTTGTCTTTGGCTGAGGATATTTAAAGTGAGGGCTTCGGCCATTTTTGGCGAGTTACTCAGTTTTCCTGGGTTTCTCCCATGTATACGTGTTATTAAACTTTTGTTTGTTTTTCTCCTGTTAATCTGTCACGTGTCAATTTAATGCTTAGACCGGCCAGAAGAAACTAGAAGGGTAGAGGAAAATTTCTTCCCCTCCCACAGCACTTACACAAACTAGATGGTTTAGCCTACTACTCATGTAGGATATATGGTACTAATCTTATGGGACCCCTGTCGTATATGTGGTCCGTCACTGACCAAAATGTCGTTATGTGGCATATGACTGTATTCCAAAGACTTACCAAGAAGATGGTGGAGACAGTAACTTAGAAGGAAAACTTCCAGGGGTACTTAAGAATAATAACTAGTCACCTGGGATGTAAAAACAGCATCTGACCTATGTATGACCATAGTTAATAATACAGTCATTAAAACATGTTTTAAGAATCTAGAATCAAAGACCTCTGAAGAGCAATTCTCTTTTGGGAGGGAGGGTGGAGGTGGGAAGACCATGGGAGAAATTCAAATGTTCCCCTGTCAGAGATTTTTAACTACATCTCACCTGGTTTTTATTTGGATTCTCCATGAAGACACACTGCTTCATTATGTAGGAGACAACAGCATTCCCTCCTAACGCAGCGACATGGGCTCTCACCATTGCAAACACTTCAGCAATGAAAGCATGGAGAAACCCACTGACCCCTCCTTCCTAAATAACACCACACAAGAAAATCAAACTATACGCATTTGTACATGAATGTATATAACATGTCAAAGAATATGTACTAAACATCTTAAATAATCTTAATATAACGGTTGATAATTTTAATTTCCTTCATAATGGGGATTTGTTGCATAAATGAACAAACCAACCAACCTTTACTGAACACAAGTCTATGACATAGATTACTGTGCCTTACTTTACAGATGATGAAATTGAAGCTCAGAGAACCTGTAACATGCCCATGACTAGCTACAGTCACACAGCTAGTAAATAAATGGCAGGGCAAGGATTCACATTGCTCCTCCACCTTCAACATCTCCCTCTAACAAATCGTTCCCATCATCATTCAAATAAATTAATGGTAAATATAAACAACGAAACTTCCCTGCTATCCACATCTTCCCTTCTGAACCATGTTCCAGTCACACTTGCCTTATTGTTTTTCAGAGGGAGAAAACAATAGAGCTAAATTATATAAACTATCCTCATAGACATCTATCTATAATACAGTCCCCTACTATTTCTAAATGTAAACCTTTAAAAATTGCTGCTTAAATATATCTCAGGCAAATAACTACTGAGAAAACGAAGCTATTTTAAACCTAGTTGCTATATGAAATTTGGTAAGTATAATCTAGAATAAATCCAGACAGGTTAATGAAAAAAATTGTGTGTGTGTGTTACTTCTGGCAAAAAATAACACTTTGAAACTTGTTTGTTTTGTTACTAACATCTTCAATCAGAGAAAATTCACAATGAACAAACAATGAAATAACACGTATACAATTACCTCACGAAGAGAAGTGGTTTCCCGAATAAAAAACATGTTAATTATCCCAAGATATTTAGTTATTTTTGCTCCAGGAATGAAAGAAAGAGGCGTCATCTTAACAACCCCAACTGTAGAATTTGCACAAGGTGGGGCAGAACGATTCCGGAAATTTCCTTCACCCATTGGACTTGCTTTTTCAACTGTCACAGCTAAAATGAGAGGAAGAAGAGAAAGCGTCAAGATCAGATGCTGGTAACCCAATTATTCCCTAAGGTTTCCAAATAAGTGGTGACAACATTCAGCTCTCTGTGAGGCTAAGCCATGTCACGAAAGAAAAGAAATTCTCATGCACTGCATGCAATTAAAAACAGAGAAAGAAAAACATAAGAGGAGATGCTGGAATGGAATTCTTTTGGAAGAAAAATGGCATTCCTGCAAAAGAAAATGTAGATGCAGTGTAGCTACACACACAATGACCGTTATAGAGTGAAGAAAAAGAAAAAGCAGTCGAGCATTACAAATTATCTGCTGTAGGAACAAATTACTACAAAGAGAGTGTGAAAGTTGTTATATGTCCCAGTGCAGTTTTTTCCATCTTTTTCAGACGACTTCATCATTGTCAACTTGTAGATAAACCTTATGTTAACTAGTTGTAATAGATTTCTTTTCTAAACCTTTTTGATCAAATTCATAATTTTAAAAACTTAACAAATGACTCTGGCTGTCTAAAAGTTGTTTATAAAATAACGTAAGTAATAATAGCTACTGCTTATCAAATAACTACTATAAGCCAGACGTATATATATCTAATCCTTACGACAACCCAGCAACATAGGTATTATTATCCCCATTTTACACATGAGGAAACTGAAGCTCAGAGAAGTTAAATAATTTGCCCAAGGTCACACAGCTATTAAAAATGGCACTTCTAGGATTCAGAACCAGATCTGGCCGGTTCCATATCCTATGATCTTTCCTCTAAAACACAGTTCCTTCCCTTTTAATGTACTGTAAACTCTTTCACTCAAACACATTTACCTCCAAGTCTACCAAAACACATGGAGTATAAAAAACACATAAGCAATGATTCTGATTCTAGCCATGAGATAAGGGTTATCTACTTCCTCTCCGGAAATCCCTCATTCTTTTAGCCCTCTGGATATCACCCTCAGTAGACTGACATGCCATATACTGCACAGTACCTTGGGTCCTGGAAGAGTGTCTCTTCAATAAGATGGCTCATAATTTCCTTCCATTAGAAGGACATAATATCTATTTATATACTTTTAAGAATACCTTTGCAAAAAGTAAAATTTTAAAAACACAATTCTACAGTTAAAATTAACAAATCTGAAGGCCCTTCAGTAACTTCTACTAAGTGACCATTAGAGTCTGCAGCTTTCACACTCCAGCACACGACTGATTGGCAATGTTATTGCTGGGAGTGAGTTCTAGCCTTCACCACCGGGCAATCAGGGATGTGCTTCTCAGGTCATAACATGGTAGAAACATCCGCCTACTTGTCTTCATCGAGCCGCGCCTTATGGTCTGAGCTTTCAGTTTAATGAGCTCTATCCAGCCGCTGCATCTGTCTGCAAAGGAACTGTAATCAACTGACGCTGCTGAAAACACAGACAGAACACAAGAGAAAAAACAAAGAATATGGATGGCGTCTCTTACTCGTCATAATACTCCCTCCGATGACGTAATGTAACTGTAACTTAGCAAAAGAACGGTCCTTTTCAAGTCAGATAAGAGAGACGGTAAAGAGTCAAGCTTTAGACACTGATGTGTCCAAAACCAAGTTCTCGGTCAGCTGGCTGAGCGTTTCTGGTGGTGTCACAGTGGTGTTCGCTCTCATGGGGAAGAGAAGCGGGCTCTAACAGAAACGTCAGTGAAAGGACCATACGCTGTGTTTTAACTTTATTTCCCATTCTTTTTACTTCACAACGTTTTAGCTGCTTACAGTTCAGGACTTTAATTTACAATCAAATCTTTGTGAATAATTCCCTTCCCTATTTTTACCCTAAAATCAAAAGTAAAAATAATGAGAATCAAATGTGGAAAAACACATGAAAAAAAAATCACCAGTTGACTTATCTTTTATTAAAATACCTTCTTTCTACCATTAGTATCAAGAAAGCCAAAGGGTCATTTTTTTCAATATTCTGTTTCCACGCCTGATTGGCACCAAAGCTTCTGATAATATGGGGTGGGGGTGGGGAGGTTCACAAGTTCTCTTTTTAAAAAGAATAACTTTTATTGCTATTAAGCTAAAAAAATTAAAGAGCTAAAATTTTATTTTTAGAAACTGGGAAACTATTAAAATGCTAAAAAATTGAAATATTAGTTTAATAAATATTTTTAAGACACATTCTAACTACAATAAAGCCACATTTTGGTGTCTATTCCATTGTCCAGTGCATTTCTCCGATGTCTGTATGTTTAAAATTTCACACCTTTGGTGACTATTTGCTTAATTAGACAAACTCACCTCTCTGTGCAGCTGGTATACCTGAGTTAGAACTTGCACTCTCCAGGTGTTCTAATAAGACAATATGAACAACATTAGCTTGGATGCTAAGTACAAGCCAATATCTCTTCTTTGCTGTTTGTTAATACGCTCTATAAGCCAGATGAACAGAAGGAAATCTTTATGGCTTCATTATAAAAGCAAACCAAACAGAAGTATTTAGGTTTAAAAGGCAGTTTCTATTGAAATATGAAATCTAGCTCAGTTAACGAATACCATGCCAAGGAAGACTACTTGTTACTATAACACAAAAAGAGTTTCAGAAACTTTATAGACATATGAAAATGTAAACACAGTGACAAATGTTAGTAGGATGAAAGCAAGATGTGAGAAAACTGAGCAAAGAAGAGGGTCAATGTATTGGGGAGAAAATCTGAAATGAAACACGGAAGGGAAATACTTGTGGGGGCAAGAGCCAGTAAGATTAAAAATTGCAGACAAGGCAATGACCTATGTCTCACAGATAAACACAAGCTGCTTACTAGCTGTACCCTCCCCTCACCACCAACCCCTTCATTCAAGGACTTAACTAGCAATAGCTCTCTCTGGTGGTATTAAGACTTGGAGGAACTAAAAAGTGACCTCTCCACAGAAATAACCAAGAATCCCAAACTAGAATCACTCCCTTTCCAGTAACCTCATAAAAGTAGCATCCAGAATTTTCCCTGATATTTTATATTTTTATTATATATATTTAAGGTATTCTACAAATTTAAACAGTACCACTATAAAACAACTTCAGAATCTATTTCTAATGTTCAGGCTCCACCCACACTAGCATATTTGAATTTTTGTTTCAAAGAATTTTATAACTGAAAGAACAGGGTTGCCACATTAGAAATAACTCATAAAAAACCTTGAGAATAATCTAGGTCAGCCAGTTTTTAAAACATTTATAAACTAAGTAAATACATATTTTTTTCTCTGCCTAATGTGTTGATCTTCTGGTAATATCCTTAAATTAATAAGTTATACTTGTCAAAAATAAGATTTGTACAGAACGTTTCTGCTAACTGGGTGCAATGGAAGTCTGTCTCACACCCCATCTCCATTTTTATACGGCAAGTGACCACTAAGCTAGTAGTGGAGAGTATACAGTGGTTGATATTCCTCTTACAATATAGAGCTGTTGAATGAAAGGGATCACTAGGCAGGGTCCACACAACGACGGCGAGGGTACCATGCTGTGGACATGCTCTGACCATCATGCCCTCAGACTGCAGATCTACATAGGGAGAGTCCTTCTGATTCAGGATCCTGAGAGGCAAGAGATGGAACCTACAAGACCAGAACAGAACTGACATTCAGAGGTTTATCAGACCTCTAGGGACAGCTCAGCACCAAAACAGACTCAGTGCAGAAGCTGGGAGAGCAAACGGCCTACCCCAGGCTTACACATCCCAGGAGGGTCCCAGGGCTCTCCTGTGCTGTATCAGACTTGGTGGGTATAGACTTACAGAAAATATAGTCAGCATCAGGAATTCTGTGAAAGTTTTAAAAATGCTGGGATGGGGGGAAAAGCTAAAAAAAAAAAAAAAAGTGAAAATTACTAAAAGAAAATTATCTTCTATACCTCAATATTATCTGGGTAATATGGAATTCCCCAGTAGCAACTGTATATAATTTAATGGCAAATGCCCAGAAAAAGAGCTTAAACATGTAGAAAGTATCTGTTCCCATCTCTAAACACATCAAGTGAAGAAAACAAAGGTACACAATGATCTGTAAAATATTTGTTTTTAAAAAAAGGATAGAGTATCTTTGCAAAGACAGACCATAAGCTGTTAAGGGTAGCTGCTTCTTGGGAAGGGAATGAAGAGAGAAGGGAGCTTTACTTTGGACTCGATGATTTTTTTGTAGGATCTGAATTTTTCACCATGTACATTTATCACTTTTCCCCCAAAAATTTACAAAGGGTGGAGAAGAAGAGAAGGAAAAGAGTGAGGGAAAATGTTTATTCCCTGCCCTCAAATATGAATGTATTTGAATTAAAATCTGAAAAAAACAAAGTTTTTAAATTGGAGGCATGTTTAAGGGAAAGTTTGAGGGACAAGATTTTTGATCTCACTTAGGGAGAGCAGGTTCATTTTCTAACATGACTGCTATGATCTAAATTTTTCTCTCAGAGAAAAGGCCCAAGATGAGCTGGTCCTGAAGCAGATGGGCATCGGCACCTCGGACTGGTGTGAATACCTCAACTATCTAATGGTCTCAGACTCTCAGATCTCTGCTCCTTCTGATCACCGTCTGGCTTCCCAGGTAACAGGCTTTTCAAAAGGGGAGGTACTGCAGATATAAGCCACCTGGCTCAGTGACAGATTAGTAATTCTGGTTAAAAAGAAATAAACAAATGCATATGCAATCTCTAAGCCAATACTGAAAAAAGACAACATATTTCATATTCAGGGCAGAAATCTTACTAAAAGTCTTTCGGGCTTTGTTGAGGAGCTAATGCTCAGTGTGGGCCATTTGTATATCTACACGGACGAGTTCGGACAAACACTTCTTATGTTAGGTCCCCATTCTAGCTGCAAAGAGAGTCTCAACCAAGCCACACAGCAGCCCACTTCTCTTACGATTTCCTTTCCCAATGAATACAAGAAAAAGATTACTTTGCTTTTTAAAAAAGTCACCAGTAAGTGATAACCCTGTCATGGACCCCAGAAGGTTAGTGAGGCAAACAGAACATATGGTTTTATTATTCTCTTACTAGACTCTAGCAATATTTAACAATTCTAGCACGTGGGGAAGGGGACTAACTTTAAAAGCAGTTTAGTGGAAATGAGCATATTCATGACAAAAAGAAAAAAAATGTGGCAAGGAATCCCCCTCCCTCCATTATCCATGGTCCAATGCTTCTGAAGTTTGAGACCTCTCCACTCTCCTAAACCATTTGTCATAACCAACAATAAAGGTATCAGCTATGATAAAGTTCTACACTGATCACTAACTCTTCTGACAACTTATTCACTTCGTATCATTAGAATTTACAGATCATCTTTGTTCTGAATACAGTCACGCGACACATAACGACATTTCAGTCAATGACGGATCACATATACAGCAGTGATCCCATAAGATTAGTACCATATAGTCTAGGTGTGTAGTAGGCTATACCACCTAGGTTTGTGTAAGTACACTCTATGATGTTCACACAACGAAATCACCTAATGATGAATTTCTCAGAACATATCCTCATTGTTAAGTGACGGCATGACTGTAATTAAAAAATATTTGAGGGCCAGCCCCAGTGGCCTAGGGGTTAAGCTCCGCACACTCTGCTTCGGCAACCCAGGTTCGGTTCCCGGGCGTGGACATACACCACTCATCTGTCAGGAGCCATGTAGTGGCAGCGGCTCACGTACAAAAAGAGGAAGATGGGCAGTGGATATTAGCTCAGGGAGAATCTTCCTCCACAAAAAAAAAAAAAAAAAATTTTTTTAAAGAACATCTTATCTGGTCATCTTAAGAAAATTACTAAAACTTAAAAAATTCCTGCGAATTCTGAAAAGATTCTCTGGTAGATTAAAATATATACAATCTGGGGGCCAGCCCCGTGGCTTAGCAGTTAAGTGCGTGCGCTCCGCTGCTGGCGGCCTGGGTTCGGATCCCAGGCACGCACCGATGCACTACTTGTCAGGCCACGCTCTGGCAGCATCCCATGTAAAGTGGAGGAAGACAGGCATGAATGTTAGCCTAGGGCCAGTATTCCTCAGCAAAAAAAGAGGAGGATTGGCATGGATGTTAGCTCAGGGCTGATCTTCCTCACCAAAAAAATATATATATATATACAATCTGGCGTCTTTAAAATTTATGCTTTATTTTCCTATTTAAACATTCTCAGTTCTAAGTTATTATGATTAAAATTTGGTTTTATGTCCCTTTAGGCATTTTCATCCATCTATAATGCATTGATTAGCTATGTCCTATAACTATAAAATCTGGCTTAATGACTGAGTTAGACAAATGACGTACATAAACATTCAGAATAAACTTTGTCCATAATGGTATTCAAATATTGGTGGATTGATAATGTATTGCCATATTATAGTTAAAAATTACTAAGGCATAGAGAAAGATATAAATAGCTTCAATTTGGATAGTCTACTAGGGAAAAAAACTTCAACTACAATACACAGGTAATACATACATTAGATGACACAGACAATTAGCCTCTCTGTTTGGGTCATCAAAGCTTCCAACTAAAGGTGTACAACATCCTAAACACTTGTCTGTCTTCTTCAGTCCCCATCAGTTTTCCTGTCTCTGTTTCCAGGCGTCCACTCCTCCTCTCACTCCCATTCTTTATATCTTCTCTTCCAAATAATCCCTGTCTTCTGTCAGTAACCCAATTCAATTTTCTTTGCTTTTTACTCCCTCTTCCTCTGATTCTGGATTTCACTGTCCTCAAGCTGCCTTGAAGAAGCTAAGATTCCTTATCCCTACTTCTCCATCATCCTGCTTCCTTCCTTCCTTCCCATTTCTTGGATAAGTTTTTCATACATTTCCCACTCTTCAGTTTCTATTTTCCTCTCATTCTCCTTCCCCTCAGCATCTCTCTCCTTTCAAGACCTCCCATTGTTTGTGGAGGCCATCATTAACGTGGAGAACTTTAGTGTTTCTTATTGTTGCTACCATTTGGTCATAGGACTAAACACAATAAAACAAGAGAGAGACAGAGAAAACAGACGTGCAATGAATTGTTAATATGTAAAGATATTTTTAGTTAGTATAAAGAATTATATATACTTGTAAGAATTCAGAATCACAAGTTGGCAGGAAAAAATAAAAGCTAACTTGTAGTTTTTATAGATTTATATTCCTAATTGCTAGTTTAAAATAATGTAAGGCAAGTCATTATAATTTAAAAAGTTAAACTATCTTTTAAAATCAAATTTGGTTTAACAAAAAGTAACACTTAGAGCCTACAATAAAAATAAAGATAAAAAACTTCAAATGTGTTAGCTAATTATGGACTACAATATATTGAGGGTATAAGCCAACTTGTTTTCCTTTATACTGAAATCCAGAATTTGACCTACGCTTGTCACATCAGTCAGCAGCTGCTCAACGAAAAGAATACTCCTGCCAGCCTACAGCTTATGCCATTGAGTATGAGGACATCACTCCAGCATAAAGCAAAATGAAAGCAGGAACAAGCTGGGTACAAAAAACTTTTCTTCTATACAGTTTCATTCAACAGTATATAAAAACCAAAATTTCCTTAATGAAGCCTTTTTAAAGCCTTAAACTCTGAGAATTTTAATGAAAACTATTATCTTATTATAGATTAGATTTATAAAGTATTTGAGATATATTTATAGGGGTATATGATTCACACACCTTTGTCTAATATAAATTCTTGAGCCCCACAATATGGTATCTAATATCTTGAGATTTAGGTCTTTAGACATGTATCTAAAGTAATATGCTAACCTTTTATAAAAATTACATGCATAAATTTTTTTTTTTTGAAATTAACTACAGTCTATGAGGAAAAATCATACTGATTCTTTTTTACTTTTCATCCAGATTATATTCACTCAGATTCCCCATTTTTACTATATTTGCTATATCTCTTTTTTCTCTATATATTGTTTTTAATGTCTCCTGAAAACCATTTCAGAGTAAAGTGGTAGATATTCAGAAAACTCAAGTATAGATATTAATGGTGAGGAAAAAACATTATGAAAGGGGTATATAAAATCTACGATAGCCATCTTTTTCTCTCATATGAAAACAATTTATGCTGATGCCACATCATCTATGTTCCTCGTAGTATGTATGCATCAAAGAATTTTGATGACCTTCATATGATACTGTCCTTTAAGAAACCACTCAGGCTCAGCACCTTTTAGTCCTTCAAATCAGAAAAATCAAGATAACTAGCAAGGTAACACCAAACCAACCATAAATTTGAGACAAACATCAAGCTATTTTGTTACTTTGAGAGACAAAACCAAACATAACTAAGGATGGAAGGAAAAAATTGAACACGGATGGACAATTCAGGCCCAGGCTTACTCTACACAGTGAATTAGGATACATGTAATTGAAGCATCTTTTCTTCACATAGTATTCACTCATTCTCAATGACATAAAAAGATAAGGAAAGGTTTATCTACAAGTGAAAAGATGGAAGTATTATTAAACGTACTGTGCATAGCTCTTGAAACTACTCTGTCAACATAAAAGGAAACTAAAAATTTTAATAAATCATCCTATTTGTCATAAGAACATAAAAAATAAATTAGAATTCAAAGTTTTCAGAATTAAAAAAAGAAAAAGCTCTATCAGCTTAGCTAACTGACCTAACAAAACTATAAAAACTATGTATTTATTTACTTAGAATCAGTAGTTGACTTTTAAGCCTCTTGTGGTTGCCTATAAGTAGAGAAGCTCTTTGAGCATTTATTCCTAACACTCTTACCTTTCTCTCTCTTGCCTGTCGCCTCTAAATTGCTAAGCTTAACTTTTTCCAAATATTTCTGTTCTCTATTTAAAGCTTTCATGTTACGATGCTCATTTACACTGATGTTAAAATGTTCTATTACTACGTTCTTCAGACATTTTCAAAACTCATCCTATCCTCAAATCTTCTAAAATACTTTGAGATCACTTTTTCAAATATATTTAGTATAGCCCACGACCTCCTGAAAAGACTTGAGGAAGCAAAGACAATAAATAAGCATGCGACACAAACCACAATTTACAAAACTATTCACGAAAAGGTACAGATAAACTGTGGAGTGTTTACTGATGATTTTAAAATGTAATATTCAAGGAAAAGCACGTAGGTTTTGCAGTTAAACACTTAGTACAAAAAGTTTTATATATATTAGTATTAGATGTGATGATACTGATCATTATGAAGATGATGATGGTGGTGATGATGATGATAAAGGTGGCATGATCTGCTTCAGTGGTTTTCAAACTTTTTGAAATCCTTCCTTCCAACAAAATCACACACTGTATAGAAAACCAATACATAAAAGCACACTGAATTGAAGCTGCTCTAGTTCAGAGGTAGGCGCCCAAAGACCTATCCTCTCACTCCCCCACCCTCCTCAGCTCCCTTCCTACTCTGCCTCCTGGAAGGCCATGAGGCACCTCTGAAGCAACTCTATGGCTTGGAAGAACAGAGTTTAAAAATTATTAGTTTAACTGATTTGAAGCTACTGGGAAATTTTTAATTTAACTTAAATTAACAGAAGCTCAGTATGACTTCAGGCATAATTTAGCTTTTATGTTTTTAAAGAACCATGAACTATAGGAACCCAAGGAATCAGAGAATTTTAAAGACTAGAGAGAATCTTAATCTTTGCGCATTTTACAGATGAGGAACTGAGGCTTAACTGGCTTAATCAGAAGTTAATTGGCCCAAGTTCTCAGACTTTATCAGCAGCAGAACTGAGAGGAGAACCCAGGTCTGTTGCTTTATTACTCCCTTATGGCCCCTCCCCATGCTCCCTCAATGAACTGCAAATATTTTAGGTATTGTTCAGATATGACTTATTCTACTCAAATTCTTCTTTCCTTGTCCCTCAGTTCACAGAGTATCATTTGTATAAAATATACTAATGATCACAATAAGCACTAGTTATAATCACCTTTGAAGACATTTTGAAAGGTACTGCAGAAACTGTAAGTTGTCAATATAGATATGGCCAACTTAGAGTTTAAATCTAATCTTCTGCAGAATTCAGTAGCTATTAACAACATGGTAAAATTGAGCTAATAGGGACTCCAAATCCACAAATATATACCCCTATAGATTAGCAACTCATCAAATATTTTTTGCTGTCAATTGGGTGTTTGGTTTTGGTTTTTTCCCCTCTGCCTCTCCCCTCCCTGCTTGCAGGGTAAGGATACATGAAATGATACCTAAAAGTGGTTTGGAACTAACCCTGTGTTAAATATAAGTTTCTGTATAAAGTAGGTGTTTTTTTTTTTTTTTAATTCTGTCTAGTCAGTTCAAGGAAGATCTTGACAGTTCTGCTTTTTGTTCTGGAAGCTATATTTAATTCATAAATCTGATCTCAGATTATCTTTGGATTTGATTTTTCCTCTCTATTCTTTCAAGGAATTGAGGTATGCTAAAATTCTCTATGGAGTTCTAAATTAGAATTTTAACTTAGACAAAAAGGAAAGGGGACCACAGTTACCAAGTTAGAAAGCTCAAAATCTGAAAGTAGCTTATCTGTTCATCTTGAAAATATGAGACAGGATCTTTATCTACATAGATAAGCCTTGTACTGATTTAGTAAAGACTCTATTGACATATACGCAATGTAAATATAAAACTATTCTGTATTATAACTAATTTGGTTATAAATTATAAAGATAAAAATTGACAAGTTGAAATCATAAAATAATTTCACTTATATTATAAAACATAAAAATTAGAAAAGCTAATTTGATTTTAAATAACAAATGCATCATTTCTCAGAATAAAAAATTTCGGAAAAAATACAAACTACATTTATTATGTATGTAATGCTATGAAATAAGGTACAGCAATTCTGGAGATTTTTATAATAAAAACTGCACTGAAATCAGAAAAGAAATGGAAAAAACTACCTCCCATTTTTCTCCAAAGATTGTACAGATCTAAGCAGATTTACTGCTATTGAGTTAAAGGACAATTATTTTGCATTTGAAAAAAATGGCAGCATCCTGTAAGTACATAACAATGTTCCTCAATTACAAACCAGGCACCCAAAAGACAGAGAGCTCATCCCTTTCTCAGTTGCACTACCCCCACCCAAAACCTCTCCACATATCTTTTGAAGAAAATAAGTATTACATTGTCTAGGAAAATACAAAAATTTTTGTAAAGGTTCGATTGTTGCTGGAAAAAAATTTACCAAATATAATATAAATATCAAATATACCATGTGTGAATAGTTACTTTGGGAAATCCAAACCTCTGAAAATAAAACTTAATACATTTGAGAATGAAGACGGGTATATCATACGAAAAATCACCTTATTAATTTATGATGAGATTACTTCAGAAATTAAAATGAGAGGAACATTACTCTTTCCCCTTCATGAACATGAAGAAAGCTACAATGACGGAAAGAAGAAGAAATCTTCATCTCAAGAGTAAGGAACATTGCCTACAATGAGGAAGCAAGTGAAAGGAACCAGACATTAGGATGTGTGTTTGCATTTCCCTTGCTTAACCAACCTTTAGCAGGTGGAAAAGGATGAGAAGGAAGTGAATCTGAACAGAGTTCCAGTGGAAACTGCAGAAGTTCTTCATTATCTGTAGAGGCTTAAGAGGCAAGAAAAACACTAGTTATTCAGTAATGATCTATTATTAATTTTTTAAAAATTAAGAATCTGGGATAACATACGTTATTTTCCCCAACCCAGTTTATTCTAGTTATTTTCGCCTTGGTTTCTCCCCTGGGAACCCTTCACTTGCATGATGTTTTTAGAGTGGTGCTATCTTCCCTGGTAGGATTGTTGTGAGATTTAGAAAGGATAATGTGTGTCAATCGCTTAGCACAGTGCCTTGCGAATAATAAGCACTCAATAATTATTATTATTATCCTACTCTTTGTACCATACTAGTTTCTACGATACTTAAACCAGTTATTATCTTTTTTGATAAATATCTGAACACGTAATCATTTAATACATCTCTCTATTTCACATAAATTCAATGCTATACATGCGGAATGTAACCAACTTTAAAAAATTTTAGGGCCGGCCCCGTGGCTTAGCGGTTAAGTGCGTGCGCTCCGATGCAGGCTGCCCGGGTTCGGATCCCGGGCGCGCACAGACGCACTGCTTCTCTGGCCATGCTGAGGCCGCGTCCCACATACAGCAACTAGAAGAATGTGCAAAACTATGACTTACAACTATCGCCTGGGGCTTTAGGGGGGAAAAAAAAAAAAAAAAAAAATTTTAGACCAATGATGAGTATTTTATTTAGCCAAATATACTATTTCCCTCTCCTTTATTTCAGAACACATAAATGGTTTCTAATAATTTGGGTTTCTTTGGAATATATTAAGAATGGCACTTCTTAAATTTTACTGGATAAAGGACAACTCTGAGAATCTGCTGAATATTATGGGAACTTTCCTGAGAAAAATACATGATGCATTAGTAGGTTCTCAAATGCCTTAAGGACCTCCCCAGAGATGTTGGATAGGAAGCTCTAAATTACTGCATAATTAACATGCTATAATCTAAGTCTAAAAAACAGAAGCATTCTCTATGTAAAAACTAGTCAACTACTTATTCATGTGTGAAAAATATCAAGCCAGTCACCTGCTTATCCACACAGCTATCCTGACAAAAATAAACAGAAAAGTAGCAGTATCTCGTCAAGAAACAAGTCGTTTATTTAATCTACCGATCCTCTATATGTTATCGCTGAACTATAACTTAGACAAACATGAACTATGCTCCCACCCACCACAGGTTTACCTCTTTGCAATGACTTCTCGACATGTATTTTTGTGGTCTGTAAAGCCTGATTTTTGTCAAAAGTTATTGCAACTGCTGTGACTGTAACCTAGAATCACAGGAGCAATATGATTAGCAAAATAATCATTTCCAAAATAAGTTTCTTACAAATCTTTTTCAGTACCATAGAACAATTTACACTAAATGGCTAATTTGCCTCTCCTCGTTAAGATTCTCAACCAGAGTAACACATAAACTCAGACATTCAGACTACAGCTAAGTCCAACATGTATACCTAAACCTAGATATTCCAGACAGAGCTCCAGAACTTTCTCTAAAAGATGGGGACTGAAGAAACGCTCTGAGGTACACATCCCACTATGCGTATATATACATATATATGCTGGAGCACACATGTGATTCCACCTTCAGATAACTAGAGTTCAGAAAAATGAAACATACATGGTCTGACTCATACTAATATGTTTAAAAATATTTTGAAGTGAAATAGTTTATACTTATTTAATAATGGCAAATTTATAACATTAAAACAGATCAGATAAAAGCTAAAAATCTTCTTAAATAATAGACTGAATCTTAATTACCTGAATTAATTCATCTTCAGGCAGAGATACTGTAAAATTTACATGGCAAAGGCAGCAGGGGATCATAGACCGTAGTTTAAAATACAGGCTCTACACAATAGAAAATATTAGTAACATCACTTCTTTTAATTTAAAAATTTATAAAAACTAATTTTTAATGCACATTATATTAAAATGGAAAATTTTAATATAAATGGAAAATTTAAGATTAAAACAAAGCTGGTCTACTTCTGCTTTGTCTAATCTTATATTAAGAATACATATTTAACATTTAAGCAGACAATAAGATTTAATCATATTTATCAGTCATAAAAAATAAGAAAAAAGGTTTTTTTTAAATATATACATATACAATAGATTTTTATGAAGTTTAAAGCTATAAAATAACTTAAAATACATTTCTTTTATACTATGGTATATTAAGACGGAGAGGACAACTTTAGCATTTCACCTGATGGCAAAGTTAAGATTGATATGTAAAAAAAAATAATTCAGTCAACTGTGTAAGGAAGTCCAGACAATACATACACTTTTCCTTTTTTAATTTCATGATTCTTAGAAGTTTTAGGGCCGGCCCCGTGGCTTAGCGGTTAAGTGCGTGCGCTCCACTACTGGCAGCCCGGGTTCAGATCCCGGGCGCTCACCAACACACCGCTTCTCCGGCCACGCTGAGGCCGTGTCCCACATACAGCAACTAGAAGGATGTGCAACTATGACATACAACTATCTGCTGGGGCTTTGGAGTAAAAAAGGAGGAGGATTGGCAATAGATGTTAGCTCAGAGCCGGTCTTCCTCAGCAAAAAAAAAAAAAAAAAGAAGAAGTTTTAACTAAAATACTGTTATTCAGAAGGTTTCCTACCTTGAGCAAATTTTCACAGAGGTCATTAAAGTTCTTATTGAGAGCTTGATTAGTCAGGTTAAGGCTGCTTAATCGGATTACTCTTACTGATGTGAACATCTAAATATGGGGAGACACAATAGCATGTCATTTTATTATTTTTAACTAAATACTGTAACAGTTGAGAAAACTGCCAAGTAATGAACAATGATAACTAATATGGTATGAAAAAGGACAACATTTTAATTGCAGTAAGGAGGTCAAAAAGAAACATATACTAGGAAGGAACTTGCTAAAATCAAGTATGTTTCATTTGCTTAAAATTAAGAATGACAGGTTTACCTGTATTTCAGATGTCCAATTATTTATACCAGGCATGATTTCTGTATTACAACTATAAAAGCCTGTCAAAATAAATTACAGTTAAAATATACGATAATATTTCATTTATTTTTGTTAAAGAATAACATTTTTCAATTATTACATGAAGTTCTAACTGTAAGATCCATTCATTCTTTTTTTATAAAACTCTATATTTTCAGGAAACTTTAGACTATCTTATTAAATTATCAGGTTTTTTTAAATGTATAAACATAAAAGGATTAAAAATCAGTTCACCTAAGTTCTCACGTAAATAGCTTTAAACTATGTTTTCACTCTTGGAGCAGCAAAGCACATAGGATGTGACACTGATAAAGTCTTTAAAATAAAGTAAGTACTATAATAATGATGAACTAAAATACTGATATGCAAAACTAGTCTCATCTCAAAGGTAATTTTTTTCTGTTCACCTGAAGGAGGAGGAACATCAGTAAGTAGAGAATGTACATCTTCCATAGCATCTGTGTCATCAATCTGAAAATAAAAAGATTAAAACTATTACATAAGTAGTAAATACATAACCATTTCAAATTTTTAAAAATAATTATTATTTACTAAGCAGAATACATATGAGTCAAGGAAAAGCAGAGCCATTTTTTCCCTACGTTAAAATAAAAAACTTGAAAAAAAAATTTTCTAACGTCTGTAAATTTCCCCACAGTAATAATTATAAATACTTCTAAGTGAAATATTTTACATTTTAAACTACATTGAATTTTTTAAAAAATGAGACTTTTCTCAAGCCTCTATGAGGGTATGTTTCAATACTTAACAAAGATGCCATAATCAATCATTATCTCTATTTGTTTATATTAATTAAGTGCAATTGAAAAAAATCTTTTGACTGAATCCAGAACTGCTTTAAAACAGAATTACAGAGGGATAAATTTAAAGGCGCGTCTAAAAAAAATAAGTCCAAATCCTCTTTTTCTTACATTACAATATTCCACTGTGAATAATAAATAGTGAAAATATCCAACTGGACATATACTGACATTCATCTGTACACCAGGGGTCTAAGTCCTCACTCACACACTCTAAGCTTCCCCTCACATCACCGTTGGGTCTTCAAGAACCACCTTCACTTCCACTTTACTTTAGCAACCCACAGTTGTGGCCATACCTCAACCCACTATTCCCCACAACACTCCACACCCAGATCTCAAGCATTCTCAACCACAATCCCCTGTCTCTCTGTCCCTTCTCTTACTGAATCTGCACCTTGCCCTCAGTCCTCCGCCCACGTCTGCAGCACTTCTGTTCTCTACTGAGTCAGGATCCCAGGATCAGAAATATCAATAATGCTCTACATCAAGCTTATGGTAATGCTAAAAATCATCTGGAGAATTTGTTAAACAGATTCCTGGGCCCCACCTTGAAATTTCATTTACTAGGTCTGAAGTAGGGGCTCCAGCATTGGCATCTCTTACAAGCTCCCAGATAGTGCAGATGCTACAGGTAGTCACGGCACACGTGCAGTAGCAAAGTACCCGGGAACTCTTTACCTCCCTAACCTGACATATTCTTTTACCAATCTCCAATTTTTTTCTATTCTCAGACTGTAGAAAACTATGAGAAAAAAGCACAATTTCATATAGTTTGAGTTTTTTACAAATTAACACTCTCACCTCAGTTAAGCCTTGTGTATCCCCCATGGCTGACATCCTGATCGCATTCACGGGCACTGTTCTAGACTCTTCAAACCTCCAATTCCATCCCCATCCAATTCTGCCATCAGCTTCCTGCTTTACTGAGATCAAAGCATCTGATTTCTTCTCTCAACTGGTACCTTATCAGAACATTTCTGAGTATTCTCATTTATCTTCCTTTCTTTCAATATCAAAGGAAGATCACCTATCTCTTTCTTTCTTTCTTTATTTATTTATTTTTGCCCCCAAAGCCCCAGTAGATAGTTGTATGTCATAGCTGCACATCCTTCTAGTTGCTGCATGTGGGACGCGGCCTCAGCATGGCCGGAGAAGCGGTGCGTCGGTGTGCGCCCGGGATCCGAACCCGGGCCGCCAGCAGCGGAGTGCGCGCACCCAACCACTAAGCCACGGGGCCGGCCCAACCTATCTCTTTCAAAGCTAACCATTCTACAGGGGAGGGCAGGGGAGCAGATCTGTGAGGGAGGAGGCTCCATAAACCTTTTGTGCCACATTTATTCTCCAGAAATGTTAGTTCTGAGTGTGTTTTTATAATGAAAGTTCACTTATATCTTCTGAATTCAGTAAGAAAACACTACACCCAGAAGTCACAGTGCTTACATTATTATAATACATGTAAAAATGTTAAAATTATAGTAACATGTTATAACATATAAAGCAGGTAATAATTACAGCAGGTGAAAGAATAGCTTTCTTACTTAAATTCATTCAGGCTTACAAAAATAGCTCCAAGAGTTTAATATTATTTTAATTTTGTTTCAAGCCATACATTAATTTTTCCAGAACCATCTGCATTATTGTATCAGTAATCTGGTTTTGAACAAAAAAATATATTAACAAGTTCTGATATTTTCAAGTTCGTTGTAACTTCTATAAAAATATTTTTTGATATTTATAGCAGTTATAATGCTACAAAAGTATCACATCAATTTAGGATCTGATGGTAAAAATGCACATCTTATCTTCCAAAAACTTTAAGAAATTAGTCCAATGCAATAATACCTCCAAAACAAAAGCATCTTTTTTCCCATGTGAAAGGTCCAATTCTGTAACTTCATCAGAGCTTTCTGATTGAGATCTTAAAAGTCTTGAGCGTTGTCTGGGTTCTGGGATGGGTGATCCTATAATCTCTTCAGATATCTCCTAGAAGAAATATAATTGCTTTGTATCACATGAAACTGTCTTTTTCGCTTTTTGGCTTTTTTCTTCCTTTGGTAAACTGCAGTATTTTCTCTTTTTCCTTTTTTTATTGAGATATAATTGACATATTATATTAGTTTCAGGTGTACAACTTAATGATTTGGTATTTGTATACTTCAGTCTGATTTTAAATTTTTATATTAATAGACAACTACCTGTGGGGGAAGAAGTCTGTAAAATATATTCACAGTCTATATTTAATTACAACTTTTATGACTATAACTAACGCTTTATTGAGTACCTGGATATTTCCTTTGATTGATAATAGCACCCTTGAAACGCTACTCCACAAACTTGATCGCTAACACAGACATAGAAGGCAATACTGACATCTAGTGTACAGAGAAGACACTACAATGAGTAGTCCCAGCTCAGAAGGTATTTTCTACTCAGCATTCAAAAGTCCTAATAGCTCATAAAGAACTAAAGATTTATGTCCCCAAATAGGACTCCACTCTTTCATATCTTTCTTTATCCAGTTGTAAGTTTTCTTTTTTTTTTTTTTTGTGAGGAAGATCAGCCCTGAGCTAACATCTACGCCAATCCTCCTCTTTTTGCTGAGGAAGACCGGCTCTGTGCTAACATCTATTGCCAATCCTCCTCCTTTTTTTACCCCAAAGCCCCAGCAGATAGTTGTATGTCATAGTTGCACATCCTTCTAGTTGCTGTATGTGGGATGCGGACTCAGCATGGCCAGAGAAGTGGTGCATCGGTGAGCGCCGGGATCCGAACCTGGGCCGCCAATAGTGGAGCATGTGCACTTAACCGCTAAGCCAAGGGGCCGGCCCCCTAGTGGTAATTTTTCAAAGCTCCACATAGTAAAATGAAGAATATGATAAACGTATTTCTTTGTACGTATACACAATACACATATTATGCATGTATTTCCTGTGCAACTTACCAAGCTAAATGAACTTTGGTAGTTACAATATGATCTTTTTGAGGCCAGTGTATGATGAAATCCTATATGGGTCTGTAAGCTTTCACCTATTCCCTAGCCAAAGATCGGAGCTAACTAGAGGCCCTAAATACCTGTTGGCCACAAGGAAAATCTGGAGAATATGGACATGTGAGCACAAATGCAAAGGGCATAGCCTATTGTTGGTGTAACAAAGCTGGCTTTTTAAAAAACAAGGAAATTATAAGAAAACGTTTTTCAAAAACATAGTTTTAAATGTTCATTGCTAGTGCCTACGTTACATAAGACTACCACCACATAGTTTCATAACACAGCTATTTATGCATTACTTTCACATCCATTTATCTTACTTACATTCCAAATTAACCTGCCCTATATAAATCTGACAGGGTGCCTATTGTAATGACTATAAAATGAGAAAGAGCTGCAGTTCAGGGGTAAAGTCGTTTGCTGTGTTTGAAAACTAGTAAGTGAGGAACCTGTCTAGATCAGTTCTTTTGACTGAGTGCAATGTTCTTCCCACTAGATTTCGCCCTATTTTTTATAATTCCATAGTAGCTTAAAATTCACTTATGCCTCTGTTCACTGTATTACAGACCTAATAAATGTAACCATCTGGTATTTAATATATCTTAGATTCATATTGAGGTTTCACCACTGATACTGTTATTCTAAAAGCTTTGCACCTCATTTTGATACCTTTGGTTGACTGAATTATCTCCATTTAAGTGGTACTACACTATTGCATTAGAAACATTTGTCAGTGTACTGAGGAAAAAATCAAACGATAGCATTCACTTCAGCTAGGGCTACCTTTCTAAGAGAAGGAATACTCTGATCCACATTTTTAGGTGGGGCATACATTGTTTTAGAAAATTGAAAAGACAGAACTGTAATCTGGGTAGTGGCCTGGTACACTGACTGTGTCAAACAAATTCTGAGATGTTAAGCTAAAAGACTGTAAGAGTCAGTATCTGAAATAAGGAAAGACATATTAGAAGATTCATAAATTGATTAGTCCTTTTGTGGAAACACAGTCATATTCAACACATGAAATCCATATATACTGAAATTTTTTAAATCATAACAGATTTATTCCCTCCTCTAAAATGTACTACTGAAACAGAAGTTCAATAAATATTTATTGAATGGATGAAGTAAAATAATTCACATTCTGATTTAAATATCTCTCTGTCTTCAAGGGGCTCACATGATAGTAAAGGAAGACAGACATGTAAAAACCAAGTGCAATAATCTGTAACAGGCACTATGACAGAAGCACGTACAGGTACAACAGGAACACAATGGAGGAGGGTCAACTGTTCCTGCGGCAGGTCAGGAGGGAAGCACAGAGTTGATAAACACTGTTAAGCAAAAGAGTCCAGCTCATACCATTAGAACTGATAAATGGAGCCCTAACACATAGCTTTACAAATCATTCTCCCCAATGGGCATAAACACTATTAGTAGATGTTCAAATATCAAAATATAATTAAACAAGAAAAACAATGTATTGCAAACAGTCTACTGTGCTGTGTGAAAAGCTTTTACAAAGGCTATTTAAGTATTAATATATTAACACATTAACTTTCTTAGACGTTCTATACCAGCACAATAGAAATACAAAGCAAGCCTCATAAGTAATAAAATAAAAAAGAAACAAATTAAATAAATTTCAATAAAATATTGAAAATATTTTATTTTCAATAAATATTTATTACATTTTCAACATGTACCCATAAAAAATATTCATGAGATATTTTACATTCTTTTTCAATCTAAGCCTTCAAAATCCGGTGTATACAGTATTTTTATGTTTTCAGCACATCTCAGTTCAGACCAGCCACACGTCAAGTGCTCGAGAGCCACATGTGGCCAGTGTCTACCACACTGCACAGTGTAGCTCTAGGTCACATCCTTAAAATTCCCTCCAGCTTAACAACTTTTCTAGAAAGCTGTAAGTCTGAAGCTAGAATTTAGATGCACTGTTCCAAAAGACCAAAATTCAATAGTATGTATAAAATAAAATAATAAAAACAACAATAATAATCTTATCCAAACACTTTGCTTTTACAGAAGTATTTCATTATCAGATAGTCATAAAAACAACTAGTTTCTTTCTAACTCCAACACATTTTTCCTTCAATTCAGACTATGGCTATAAGGCATCCATAGAGGAAGAGGCATTGTGATACCAACTGCAAACTTGGTGAGAAGACTGACCATGGAAATGACCAGTAGGAAAATTCTAAGAAAGAAGCTGAAACCAAAACACTCTGTATTCTATCACATTTTTACCACAGATAAGCAATCTATCTTTTTACTAAAAAAGAACATTTTAAGCCATTTATTTAGTCATTCAACAAGTATTTATCAAGAGGCTACTACTAGGAGGAACTGTTCTAGGCATTAGGAATACAGCTTTGATTGAGCTTCATTCCACTGGGAGTAACAAGCAATAGACAAAAATCAAAAATCTCTCTCTTTGTGTGTACACACACACGCACACACACACACACACACACACACAGATAAGAGAAAGAGAAAATAATAAAACACAGAAGGGGGATAGGAAGTACCAAAAATTGACCGGAGCGTTACAATTTTTAAATAGGATGGTCAGAATCGGCCTCCCTAACAAGGAGACACTTGAGCACGGACATAAACGGATGCAAAGGGAGGTAACAGAATGAGTAATAAGAAGAGCGAATCTAAACAGTGCAAAAAAATCTTTTATGTCCAAAATAAGATAACCTAAAAATACACTAACATCTAAACAATAACTTATGTATTCACAATGTAGATTTATTTTACTTACTGGAGGAGTGATTTCATATAACTCTTTATTCTTAGCAATCGTGTCATTTATCTTCTTTTGCATATGAGATATATGCTGTTCGTAGGAGCCATCATTAGGAGTCTTCCCGGCAATCTGAATACCACCAGGAGTTGGTAAAGCTGCTAAATACACACCTGTGGCCGACTTATAAAAACAATGGGGAGATAATCAGAAGAATATCTAAAGAATAACAGTCTTTAAGTTTTCATATTTATTAATGTGGTCTTTGCCCCATAGGAAAAAGAGAGTTAGCACCAGTGTATGCCTAGGACATATGTGGAAGGGCACAGAAAAACCACCAGTCACAGGGGTTGGGTTGCTTCTGATGAGAACCCTGGGAAGGTAGGAGACAGCAGCGGAAAGGGGATTCACTTTCCACTGCATACCCAACTGTACTTTACAATTTTTACCTTATGATTGTAAAAAATAAATTACACTGAAAAAACAGCTTAGAAAAAAAGATAAAAAGTTGTTAAAAAGTAAATTTTTCATTAATGAGGAGATAATTTATCTTTAAAATGCAAAAGTGAAAGGGAAACTTTTGCAAAGCAAGTGAGGAAACCAAAGTTCAGGTACAATAGGAAACTTACTCAAGATCACACTGTCAATAAATGTAGAGAAGAGATCTGAACCTGCTTCTCACTCCAAAACCCAGGAATTTTTCACTAGACCACCTTACTTCCATAATGACCAAGAAAGAAAACTTTACTCGACACAGTTTATTTTAAATATTTAATTCAATGACTATTAATTTCTGACTCTGTAACAGTACTTTATGCCATTAGTACTGGAAAACTATTAGGGGAAATACAAAAAAAGATAATACACACACACACCTATGATAATTTATGTTTAAATATGATGTACACCTGAAATTTATACAATGTTATACCTGAAATTTATACAATGTTATAAACCAATGTTACTGCAATAAACAAAAAATTAAAAATAATAATAATAATAAAAATAAAAAAATAAAGAGTAAAAAAAATATGCTTATATCAGCAAAGCAAAAAATATATATAGAAATATAAACATCAAATTGTTAACATCAAAGGAGTGGAACAGGGAAAAGAGAAGACAATTCTCTTAACGCTAGATATTTGTGTATTTTGAATTGTTTGAGTTGATATTATTATTTATAAATTAATCAACTGTGAATTTTGTAAAAGTCCATCTTAAAAAGGGTATGATATTCTATAATGAAGTCTGCACAGTAGATGAAACTGATCCTCAGAAGCTCTTTTTCTTTGTTCTTCAGTGTCCCTGACTGTACCAGAGACCCAGTCTCTGATGTTCAACCCCAGAATGCCCTCTGTGCCACATGAAGCCTTAGTGCACCATCTCAAACACTTTCTTCACAGCACTCACTAACAAGGCAACAGTCCAGAATGGTTGAGAACACAGACTCTGGAACTAGATAGGCCTGGATTTGAAATTCAGTTCCAGTACATGTAACCACATCATTTTGGACAAGTCTCAACCTATCACGGCATCCACTTTCTCCTCTCTTTGTAAAGAGAAGACAATATTACATTCCTTCTGGAGTAGCACAGTGCCAGACACCCAGTAGGCACTCATCCAGAGATTAACCATCATGGAAGCTACTCATAGGACTTTGAGATTTAAATACACAAGCTAAAACACAGCACAAAGATCAGAATCTCAAACAGTTGTAATTAGCGTCACTAGTGATCAAGAAGAAGATTAGTAAGGATCAGAAAAGGCAGTATTTGAGACAAGCACTGAAGAATTATTACCAGGGTCACAAACTAGTTTCCTAGGGCTCAACCATCAGAAGTGTCTGATACAGTTGGCACAATGTTTTTTAAACCTTTGAATCTGAATCAAGCTCTTAGTTTCCAGAGACACTTACCAATAACTATAGTTTTGTATTCACTCCAAATTACACATTTATATTATGTCCTCACTAAGCAAGTTTTTAGATGAATGAATTATAACGAACATTTTTTCCCAAGTTAATCTAAATATCAAATATTTTAATATAATCAGATTACTTTCATTAATCATTACAAATTTCTCCTGTTAAAAAATTGTGATTACCTAACTAGTTTATCATCGCCACACAATTATTCCCTATATACAGAAATTTACATATCTGCTCTTATAGAAAGAACAGATGAAGCAGGAAACAATTTAGCATTTTATCTACAAATGCATACTGAGAAAAAGAATCCAAGTTCCATAAATTTCCTAAAATGAAATTTCTATGCATGTCTCAGAAAGATGGCAGAGAATTTCAACTGGAAAAGTGCCAGTGACATAGACAAAAATGCTGGCTAGTAAAGTGTCTAGAATATGAGATGATTTCCACAGATAGAATCTGATCAATATATATTTTGCAGGCATCTAGTTCTCTGGGTCTCAGGCTACTCATAAAGGCAGATCTCACTTTCCCCGCTGACAACTTTCTGAAGTCAGAACTTATTTTCTAACAAGCCAAGGTGAACATGAAGCTGAGATAAAGAGCTTTTCACTGCCTCACAATTGATCAGCACTTAAGAAACACAATATTTTATTGCACATTCTACTACAGACCACATGTGCACATTTATGATGAAACAATTCTCTGTCCAACAGTAGACAGTATCTCACATGTATTGCTTTATGTTCTCCATTGAAACTAAAGATTATTTTAGCACAGTGGTCCACCGCTCAGGAGTGTTTTTACCCCCCAGAGGACATCTGGTAATGTCTGGAGACATTTTTGGTTGTCACACTGGAGAGAAGCTATTAGCATCTAGTGGGCAGAGGCCAGGGATGCTGAGAAACATCCTACAATGAACAAGACAGCCCCCCACAACAAAGAATTATACATCCCCAAATGTCAACAGCGCTGAGAACTCTGTTTTAGCAATGAATAAACCATAATAAAGTCCAGAAAAATGGAGGCCAACTTACTAAACAAGCCATACATGACAACTTTTAGAAATCCGACTAGTGAGGTTATGGTCAGAATATTATAATAATAATGTAAATATAAATAATTTTATATAATAACTTACTAATTTAATTTTAAATAATAATAACTTTATAAACATAAAAATAAAATATCTGAAAGCCTATCACCAGACTTTTTATTTCTTATAATGTCCCCAACTCTTAAAGGTCTTGACGCCAGTTTCTTTAAATAAGTCTTTTTAATAAAAAGACTCTCTGAATCACCTGAAATGGAATCTACTACAACTACAGGAATCACAAAACCAAACCAAAACATCTACACTTACTGCTAAGCCCATCAACATATTTTCACCCACTGTGATCTGAATTCTCAGTCCAAATAAAGCGTTCATTCCTTTCAGTTTCAGTTTATTCATGAGCTGAGTGTGCACTTCATATTCCATAAACGGCAGCAGATTACTGATAGCTGTGGCATTTGCTTCCGCCTGTGCTTTCTTTTTTAAGCGACATAACCTGCGAAGGAAAATAATTCAGTCAGTGGATGGTATTCTTGGTACCATCTTAAGAAACGTCCACTTTTTAAAACTTTCTGAAATTATACTTGATAAAACATTTACTTGTTTCAAATGGGCTTATTAAGTTATATCAATAATCTTTTCTGCCATTTTCCTCACTGTAAACACTTTGGCTAAAAGTCCTATTTCAATAACAAAAAGAAAAATCTCAAAATCTCTAGCAATGAAATAAATACTGATCAAAATCACTAGAGAATATAATTTAAAATCTTAGGTTTCACAACTCCATATGATCATATGACGGATGGATAGCAGAGGAAAAAAGTTAATTTACTCATTAAAAGCATACAAAACTTACTTGAGTATCTCCCACATGCCAGGCACTGTTGTGGATGGTGGGCACTAATCAATGAACAGAACACAAAGTCCCTGTCCTCATGGTTACATTTCAGTGGTGGGGGGGGGGGCGGGGGATGAACAAAGAAACCCGGCAAGCTCAGATTGTGTTTAAGAATCAGGTGTCTGAAGAAAATAAACCAGCTGAAGCGAGGGAATAACTAGAGAGAAGGCCTCACAGGAGAGCTGGGATCTTAAAGACATGATGGGACTGAAGAGTTGGAGAAAGACAACTGCAGAATGGAGTTGGCAGATCAGAAGAACCAAGAGGAGACCACTGTAGCTCAAGTGCAGAGAGCAAGCGTGCGAGTGCAGCTAAGGGGCCTGACCATGTTAGGGTCATACGGGTCACGGTAAGGAGTCTGATTTTATTCTATCAGCAACGGGAAAGCCCAGATGGGTTTTAAGCAATAACATGATCCAATTTATATTTTAGGACATCATTTATATTGCTACACAGAGAATGGAGTAAATATGACACGTGGGGATGGCAGACAAGAGGCTATTTAGGTAAGAGACAATGAGAGCTTGGACTAAAAAGGTAGCAGTGAAGAAGAAGGAAAGATTCCCAAACTGGCAAGCCAGGCTATTTAGGCTAGTAGTCCTCAAACTTTAGCTTCCATCAGAACCACCTGGAGGGCTTGTTATACAACAATTACTGAGCCCCATCCCCAGAGTTTCTGATTCAATAGGTCTGGGGTGGAGCCTGAGAATATGCATTTCTGTAAATTCCCCTGAGGATGGTGATGCTATTGGTCTAGGGACCACACTCTGAGAACTGCTGATAGAGACTAACCTCCTCCTACCTAAAACAAAAAAAATTACATAAATTATATATTTTTAAAAATCTTCTCAGTAGCATCACAGGTCAAGGGCAAGGGATAGGGAAGTATAAACATAAGGAGGTAGTATGAGTTCTTTTTTGATGGTGGAACAACAGTTCTGTGCCTTGACTGTGGTGGTGGTTACACAAATCTACTGGTGGGATAAAATTACATAGAACTATACATATACACACAAATACAGAAATCAATGCAAGTTTAAAAAATTGTAAAAACTGAATGAAGTCTATAGTATAGTTAACAGTATTATACCAATGTCAATTTCCTAGTTGATACTCTACTACAGCTGTATAAGATGTCACCAACAGGGGTAGCTGGGTGAAGGGTACCTGGCACTCTTTGTACCATTTTTGCGACTTCCTGTGAACCTATCACAGTCAAAGGAAACAAAACACGATGAACAATAACCAGCAGGAACAACAGAAAACAAAGAGATTTCAGATATTAAAATTATCAGTTACAGAATCAGTCACGAACTATAATAAGTAATATCAGATTTGAAAAAGAATAAAATAAAAATTCTAGAAACAAAAAACTGATCAACAAAAATTAAAAACCTCAATTATTAAGCTTAATAGCATACTCGAGATAACTGAAGAGAGAATTAGAGAATTGAAAGATAGCTAAGAAAGTATCCAAAATATAGCATAGAGAAACAAAAAGATAGAAAATATAGACAAGAGAGCAACAGACATGGAGAAAACAGTGAGAAAGTCTAACATATTTTAAATTGGATCATCAAGAAGAGAGAAGAGATGAAACACAGGAGAACTAATATCTAAAAATTTTCTAAAACACATAAAAGACACCAATCTACAGATTCCAGAAGCCCAATGTATAAGAATTAGGATAAAGAGAACTCCATACTTAACATGATAAGGAAACTGCAGAAAACCAAAGACAAATAGAATAGCTCACACACAGCCTCAGGAAAAAAATACGCTACCTTCAAAGGAACAACAGTTGGTCTAATAGGTTATTTTTCAACGGTAGCAATGAAACGCAGAAGGCAGTGGAAGGGTATCTTCAACGTGCTGAAAGAAAATAAATGCCAGCCCAAGATAGTTTTTAAAGATAAAATAAACACATTTTAAGACAAGCAAAAAATAGTTCACCACCAGCAGACCCACCAAAAGAAATACTAAATGATATACCTCAGGCAAAAGAAAAACAATCCCAAACAGAAGGTCTAAGATGCAAGAGGAAATGAAAGCATAAGTAAATGGATTAGAAATATATTTTATAAGAAAACTCAACATGACTTTTAATAAATTTCACGTGAGGAGGTTAGGAAAGAGGACAGTGTCAAAGAATACCATATTTGGCATGAAGACCTGGATACAGCAAGGTATTGTTTATTACATAGAGAAGGCTAATAAAAAAAGACAAAATCGGGGCCAGCCCGGTGGCGCAAGTGGTTAAGTGCGTGCACTCTGCTGCGGCGGCCTGGGGTTCGCCGGTTTGGATCCCAGGCGTGCACCGATGCACCACTTGGCAAGCCATGCTGCGGCAGCATCCCACATAAAGTGGAGGAAGATGGGCATGGATGTTAGCCCAGGGCCAGTCTTCCTCAGCAAAAATAGGAGGATTGGCAAATGTTAGCTCAGGGCCTATGTTCCTCAAAAAAAAAAAGACAAAATCATCCCATTTGCAACAACAAGGATAGACCTGGAGGGTATTATGTTAAGTGAAATAAGCCAGACAGAGAAAGACAAACACCACATGATTTCACTCATATGTGGAATATAAACCAACACACAGACAGAGAGAACTATATGGTGGTTACCAAAGGTAAGGGGGTTGGGGGGTGGGCACAACGGGTGAAGGGACGCATTTATATGGTTACTGACGAACAATAATGTACAACCAAAATTTCACAATCTTATACACTATCAAGACATCAATAAGAAAAACAGAGAAGGCTAATACGAAAGAAGTGGAGAAAATCAGCAGTTCAATTTGGAACAAGTATGAGATGCCTATGACACCTCAAAATGGGATGTGAAGTAGACAGGTAAGTATATGAGTCTGAAGCTCAGAAGCGATTCTGGACTAGAGTTATAAATCTGGGAGTCATAGACATATAAAGAGCACATAGACCTATAGGAGTTGATGAGTTCAACTACAGAGAGAGCTTTGAGAAGAGGGTCCAGATCCATGGCTCTCAAGGATCAAGAAATGAAGAGGAATCAACAAGGAGAATGAAGACTATACATGAAGGTAAGAAAAAGCAGAAAGTGTGGCATTGTGAAGTCAAAGGAGTTTCAAGAAGGAGAAAATGATTAACTGTGTGACTACTGCTGAGATGTCAAGCAAGATGAGGACAGAAATGCTCAGTGGTTTTGGTACCTGGCAGTGGTTAGCGACCTAGACAGCCACAGCTGTTTCCTGTATGCCTACCACAATGTAGCACTTCCTACTCCAGTACATTTTAAAAGGAACTCAACAGCTAAGTGAAGCAGTAAAAGAAACACTACACAGCACTGCTCTTTAAAAGAGATAAAAGTCAATTTCCAAAATGTTTTACATGTTTAATGTCATTAAAGCATACTGAGTCACATCCATAGCCTGCAAGGTTAATTAATAATCCTCATAATAATAAACATTTGTACAGAATTTAAATGTTTAAACCTGCCTTTGCATATAAACTTATTTAAGTTTCATAAAGAGGGTATTTTTCCTCCCAATTTTCCATACAATAAAATACAAGGTTCGGCTAGAATTGCTCAGCCTGCCCAGGATCACACAGGTAGGAAACAGTACAGCAGATATTTGAAAATAGGTCTATTTGATTCCAAACCCTATTCTCGTCCAGGGATTCCAAATACTGTTTTCACAAACATACCTTGCTTGAATAAGACAACCTTTTCCAATAACTGTTGCATCTGTTGGGAGGTCTATAGTTGTAAAGAGAACATCAGGAACTTTTTGTTTCCTGCAGTTATAGCAATATGTGAGATGAGCTGGGAATGGCATATTCAGTTCATCATATGGTATATGGCAAAATCCACAGCCCGCAGGCAAATTTTCTTCTAGCCTATGTGATTACATTAAGAAAAAAATAAGGCATTATTGAAAAGTCTATGTATTTCTTAAAAAAATCTATTATATATACAGTACTTGTGTACAAATTACACCACAACTTCTACCACAGCGGGTTGTAAGAGTATCACTATGACTGATAAGAATTACCAATGACCATGAAATCAGAACCATATACTTTCCCATGAGAGAAAGGCTTACACAAGTAGCAAGTCATCTTGCACCAATTCATGTTTGATGACTTAGCACCTGATAAAAACCACTACTATCCCAAAGTTTTTTCTTTGGGGTACAACATAAAAACAAATGGTTAGAGAATAAGGGTGACATTTTCCTACTGTCTGACAAATATAACACAAACATAATCACAAAAAAAATTCCCATAAAAAAAAATTTTTAACCAAACTAACAATTTGAAAAAAATTCATTGTTAAAAACAAATCCTTTAAGAAGAACAAAAAGTAAGTCAAATATAGGCATACTCCAAAGTTTCTAATTTCCAGTGACTGTTTTTTTTTTTTTTTTTAAAAGATTTTATTTATTTATTTTTTTCCCCTTAAAGCCCCAGTAGGTAGTTGTATGTCATAGCTGCACATCCTTCTAGTTGCTGTATGTGGGACGCGGCCCCAGCGTGGCCGGAGAAGCAGTGCGTCGGTGCGCGCCCGGGATACGAACCCGGGCCGCCAGCAGCGGAGCGCGCGCACTTAACCGCCAGGCCACGGGGCCGGCCCTCCAGTGACTGTTTTAATATTTCTTAGAAACCAAAACACCTGTGTTTCATAAACGACATACATATCATAATTAAACCACAAATGAACAACCCACAACCATCCCATTCACTGTAAAATGTTTGTTGCAATATGCTGTTTATGAATTCATTTTAGAATGATTAAGTATTTTTTCACTCATTTAAATCTCAGGAAATTGGGAGAAGAGGAATGGAAACAGAGGGAATTCCAGACTTTCACACAGCCACATCTCCTAGGGCTCTGGAAGATGTGGGTTCTCAGCTCTCTCTAATCTAAAGCAACCCTTTAGAAGTGGAAATGTGGCAAGTAGTCAAATTAAAGAGGAGAAAGGAAACTCATACTATACCTACTAGGAGTCAGGCTTTTTGCAGATTCTTTGTATACATTATTTCACTGAATTTTCACAATAACCCTCTAAGTCAAATTAAATTACTCCCAAATATCATTCTTTTATTATTGAGATGGCATTCTGGTACATTAGAAGAAACAGGGAAATCAGACATCTGAGTAGAGCCGTGTGACCCTGAGCAAGTTATTTAACCTCTCAGAGCTGCCTCTATAAAACCGGAATAACAATTTTATAGGGCTCTTTTTGAAGATTAAGTAAGAAAACTATAGCTTAACACACACACCCCCCAATATAATGCCCAGCAGACAGCAACAAACACTAGTTCCACTTGACCTGAAACCAACATGAGATACTAAATAACTTGCTCAGTCACCCTAAGTACTAAGCAGCAGACCTCAGATTTTAATGCCAGTTTGTATGAATCCACAGCCCATGTGTTACAGGGGAGCACAAAAAAATGAAAACTGGGGCAATTTTTAACTAAACACCTCACACAAATTTGAACATAAGTGGTGCAACATCATAAGGCATAAAATATAAAAGTATTAAAATTTATGAAAGCATTTGAAATATGAAATGTACAAAAGGGGATTGTCTCTGAATAGTGAGATCATAAGGAATTTTTTCTTCCTTTTACTCTCCTGTATTTTTCAAATTTTCTCTAGTAAGCACTAATAATTTTATAGCAGAAAAAAAGACATTTTTCTCTATTACAAATAGGGATGGTACCTGTTGCATCGGACTGCCATATAAGGGAATTCACTGTATCCATCCAACCCACAGTACTGAAATAACCAAGCTGCATGGGAAAAGTCATTTCTATCTACTCAAGAATGAAACCTACTGACATGTGTAAGAACTGTATTACAACACTGGGTCAACACACTGGCAAAGTCAGGTTTCTCAACAGAACACTCCAGTTGTTTAATATACTTGAAAATGTCCTACCTTCACTTTCCTATTTATGATGACTTTTTAATGCTCTGCAATATATTATGGTCAAAATCCATTTTTAATATTGACAAAAGAAGAAACTTACCAAGGTCTTCTGTGTGCCTACCAGAGCTAGAATATCTTTCTTTGTTACATACAGATTTGCAAATTTATACTAAATTTGATCACATACAGAATTTTTTTGCTTTCTTACTTAATATATACTAATATATTAACACTGCAAAAAAAAACAAACATGCATACTGTAGAGTAAGGAGTAATTAAAATTTATACCATCTGGGTAGACTCCAGTACCAAACTAATAGTTTTCTGTGTACATATTTGATAATTTCATCTGTTTATGGAAAGTATTTTTGACGTTTATGGAAGCTAACAGATTAAAGGGACCAATAATCAAGTCAAAAAGTAACCTCATTTTACCTACTGCTTTCACTTTCTCTTTCTCATATATTAAAGTTATACTTCACTTTCATGAAGCTTTTATATATAATTTTGGTACAATATAGTGTTTTGTCTTATAAATTAAGAATTTTCTTTATGAAAACTGTTTCATGAACTTTTTCTGTTTTGGAGGTATGACAAAAGGAAACAAAAGTAAGAGAAAAATCAAATAAATTATTCCTATAGTGTAACAAACAAAAAAATGTATACTTGAAATTCTTCTATTGGTAGTCATACATGTCACTTATCAAGATACTAGAAGTAAAAATGTGTGTCTTACAGTGCAGAACCCAACACTTCTCTGTTGCTATGGGTCAGGTAAAAATCAATAAAGTGCCTAGTCCTGATTTCTACCCTGCCTCTGTAATCCACCCTCATAGAGAACTTCCCCGGCTCTGAGAGAAAAAAAGTCAATCTCTCCCTTCTCTGCTCTTATGGAAAATAAGCCAGCTGCCATGACAACCTCTGTTCCAAACAGCCCTCCACGGTGCCATCTTGCAGAAATCTAGGGTTCAGTACAGCTGCTGTGCCGGATGCAGATAAAATACAGACCTCTTCACTATAAAAGAAAAACACATAAACAAGTAAACAATTTCAGGCAATCTAACTTTGGAAAACGTTAAATATCAAAGTGATTACAAGGGTGACAATTTAAATTCAAGTTGGACTCTATTAAATATTAATAATATCACAGGATTACCTCCTAAACCTAGGATAGAAAATAGAAGTAATATAATGTTATTAAAATAGGGAGGGTAACAATTCTTTATTACTTAAAAATTGTAAAAGATAAAGTATAACATTAATGACAATAGATTCCTCTAAAATATGGTAAAGGTGATAAAGACTGCAATGTTTCAAAATAAAAGTAGGTACAAACTATACTGATAAATCCAGCAATAACCCATTAAACTGTATTAAAATACTCTTTAAATGCATATTAAATTTTATTAAAATTATTCTAAAAGCACAACTATGTAAATATCTATATTGCTATAGCTTAAACAATAATAAAAAGGTATCTGAAACAAATAATATCCAAAATATACTAAATGGAGCTTAAACTACACCATTACATGTATGATAAAAACTGATTTTCAAAAGAATTCTTTGAAACTCTTTATAACATATCACCCAATTTGAAAGCCAAAAAATTAAACAATCAACACAATTATTGAAGGAGATTACCCAAAGCAAATGAGAAAAGTAGCAGCCTGGGGATGAAACACTGGAAACAAAGTGTAAACGGACCAGAAGCCTAAGAGGGCATGAAAGAAATGGTCACTTGACCTGTAATTGAGTCAAGAGAGGCCAGGCTTCAAATGTAAGGTGGGCACTGAGAATGTCAGAAGGAATAACAGGGAGCCACCAAAGCCACGGAATCAAGGGGCTATGAGAGCAGAAGTGCATTTCTAGGAGTTTAATCCCATGACAGTAAGTAGGATGGGTCAGAACAGAAAAAATTAGCAAAGATGGGACTTAAATACAATGATTTTTTGAGGTCTAGAAGAAAAAAAGGAGTTTGTGTCAGATAAACTTCTAAGTAAATTAACTGGATTCATTTCTGCTGACTCCTGCATATGTGATCCATCTCCAGCCACACTGAATCTACATCTCTGGCTTCTCCACATGCTATTCTTTTAGCCTTGAACACTCTCCCTATGCCTCTTCTCTTCATTTATGTAATTCACACTCATCCCCTGAGATTCAGTTCAAGCTTCAGTTATTTCATTAACACTTTATTCCAATCTTACTTCTAACCTCCAACCCTCTGGGATCCCAAAACATCCTGGGATATCTCTATCATAAAATGTATTATACTTGTCATAATTCTCCAGTAGAATGTGAATCTGATGGCCTATATCCCTAGGACCTGAAAGTGTATGACACTAAATCCATGAATGAGGCAAGACTATCCACTGAGGATAAGCACAACAAAGTTAGTAGTTTTAACAAGAGCAGAACAGCTACAATGAGAATAGAACAGTTCAAGAGTATAATACATGGTCTGCAAAGGAAACAAAGGGCCCTCGGAAAATGAAATAGCATGGCTCTGTAATTCCCACATTTACTACAGTCCAATCATTTTTCTCTAACAATAATGATCACCACAAGCACAAGAGAATTATCCATGTAATAGCTGGCAGTAAGAATTATCCAAGAATAGAAGGTGGGAAAAGAAGATAGCAGAAAGTCAAACAATTTCTAGATGATGTCTATTATAAACTTTTGAAGGAGCTGAAAGTAGGGTTCAAGGATGGCAGACAGCAAGTAAAGTCAGAACCCAAGTAAGAAACTAGAAAAACTCTTTGTTAAGATAAGGATCAAAGGGCCTGCCCAGTGGCATAGCAGTTAAGTTTGCATGCTCTGCTTCAGCGGCCCAGGGTTCGCCGGTTTGGATCCTGGGCATGGACCCATGCACCGCTCATCAAGCCATGCTGAGGCAGCGTCCCACATAGAGCAACAAGAAGGATGTACAACTATGACATACAACTATCTACTGGAGCTTTGGGGAGGAAAAAAAGGAAAAAAGGAGGAAGATTAGCAACAGATGTTGGCTCAGGGCCAATCTTCCTCAAAATTAAAAAAAGATAAGGGTCAAAACAAAGTAATTGTAAATAAGCAAATGGGATGGGTAGAAAAATGTCAAGTTGTGCTCCAAGAGTGAAATTTTATAGTTCCAAATTTTTAAAGAGGAACAGTTGCAAGCAATAATGAAGTCCAAAACATGATTAAAAGTCAAGTGAGGATAGAGGACTTGAGAATGAAAGTACAAGGCCAGGCTGTTAGAAGGGAGATGATCATGTTTAACTGGAGGAGATGGCACAGAAGTCATTAAGAAAGGCAGAAGAATGTTTTGGAGGGTGAACTGTGGAATGGCATGGACTTTAAAGGAGGAGAGGTTGTTCAAATGAAAGGCAGGAAAAGAAAGAATTGAGAACTAAGAGTATGAAGTCCCTTCCTAATTTGGCAGTTATGAAGGATGACTTGTTGGCAGGAGAAAGTTAAGTTACAATTAGTAAAGAAAGGCAGAAAGAGTTTACAGACAAACTAAAGACACATGGCAGTTCATTTACAGATCAAGGGTTCCAAAGATCCGAAAGGAAGGAGTCAGCAGAGTCAGTATTATATTCTCACTTAATCCCTCAATAAGCTTAATTGATAGGTGGTTATTATCTCCATTTCAAGGTATAAATGGAGGCTCAGAGAAGTAGACCAGCTTTCCGAAGGTTTCACAGCAATTAAGTGGCAAAAATGGCATATAAATCTCAGTTTGATGTACTCTAAAACCCACGCTCCTGGACCGGTGGTAAAGTGGACCACTTTTTCTTTTCCCTATATTCGCATAAAGCTTTTCCTTTTTCAGTTGACAATCTGTAAATCTGTACAGCATCTAGAAAATCAAGTTGTTATCATTTACCAGATGCTAGTTGATTCACTGTAGCCCACTACAGCATGACAGCCTAAAGCTTTAGCATGCGACTTTATTTCTTGTCTGATTTCTGCCCACCACGCATCTCGAGTTTCTGGTTCATCTGAAAAATAAATTTTAAATCAGTTCACTACTCAATAGCACATTATCTATATGAGCAAGAAATGTTTAAAATAAACATACTCTGGAAGGCAAAGAAGTACTGTTCTACAACAAACTTGAAAACTTCACATCTTTAAAATGCTACTTCTCAAAAAGCTTATTAACATTTTAATTTAATGCTACTTCTCAAAAAGTTTAACATTTTAAACTTGATTGCTAGAAAATAAATTACCTAGTTCTATTTGCTCTATTACTTTAAGGGACATCAATAGGGATGTATTTTATTAGATACAACTTAAAATGTAGACCCCGAGTTTCCAGATTCTATCTTAAACTGAGAGGATATCCTATGTCTCACTTCACTGAGTGAACACTTTATGAGTCATATTCACAAACTTAATTTAAGTTCTGATTTCATTTCCTGCTATCTCTTTTTTATAACCCACTATATTCTGGGTTCTTTCCAAGGCAAAGATTTGTTGATGTTAAAAAAGAGAAAGCCATCTGTAGCCATCCTTCTAAAAAAAATGTGGGTCCTAAAGCAAAATGACAAGAAATAAAGGGACTAACCAATTCAAATAAAGAAAGTAAATACATTTAAAAGATTAATACAAATATTTTGGTTAATATATATAAGGACAAATTTCAGATAGAACACTATAACTCCATGTATGGCTCCGTAATTAAGAAAATGTCTTAGAATCACAGAATTGTATTTTACTACCATAGAGGAGTCCAGTAGTGCTTGTAATGGAGCATTATAAATGGAGCATCTGTCACACATACTTCCTAATCACTTGCATTTAGCTGCAAACTACTGGTGAACAGCAGCTGCAAATTACAGTAACTTTTTATGTGCAAAGATGTTAAAAACAGAAACAGTCTATAATCAGCATATCTTAATTTGTTTCTTTTTGCGGCCAATTCCATTTGGGAACAATTTGAGATAAAAAAACAAAAAACTTAACTCTAAGTAGGGTGCTAAGCTCTTACTGTAAATTTTCCACATAAAAGGCAATATTAAAACTGAAAATCAAACAATCCAAAAACTTCCTTTTTTGAATTTCAGTATATATCCACTTTCAAAATATGTTTTCCAAAATAAGTAGAATAAGTAGAATTATACTCACTAGTAAAATACTGAAGACAGCAAAATAAAGACAAGTTAAAAGGCTTGTTATAGCTCACATTCCTATGATGTAATTTTGTTTCCTCCACAGGGAGGAGATCAGCAAAAGGGAGAAATGAGGAGGAGATAAAAGCCAGAACTACAAATGACGCCAGCCAGTTCTTGAATTAAGTTTTGGATCCAAGACAGAGCTACCCTAAAGCTTTCTTTCAGAAGAAAAGAAAGAAATGCAGACTCCAGGAAACTGAGGAAAAGATCAAAGTACGAGATAAAAAAGAAGAGAAATAGAAAAGACTACAATATGTTGTTAGCAATCAATATTATGAATTAAGAAATGTGTGAGACAATTAAGTGGCCCTATTTTGCACATACTCTTATGTTAAAGAATTTATTCATATTCCTAACTGAAATGTAGACATTAACAGCACAAATACACTTTCAAATCCATTCTCTCTTTTAAGACATACATGTTTCCAGACCAATTTGGATATCTATTTAATATCATCCTTTCCTAACAGGGAATTTTATACCATAAAACAAACTATTATTTAAGTAGATGCTCAATCTATCAAATTATTTATGATTCTTTGAAAAGAGATATCAAAAATAATTAATAGAAATATATATCAGTTTAGAAAATACTTTCCTGAAAAACTGTATAAAATAAAAAGTCTAACTTTTCTTAAATGCACTAGTAAAACCTGCTATTTACTTTTTAAACCATTCTGGAAGTTTAAAATATTATTTGCTAAAGCAAATAATTGTATACTATGTTTTTATAAAAATAGATTTTCTCACATTAGTTTTACCTACATCTGTGCCACAAGTAATACATGGTAGCTTTTCTGTTTTAAAATGAATTTTACAGGAAGTAATCCATAACATTGTTTTTTAAGTTAATAAAAAATGGAGGAAGCTACTTAAGTTCAAGATATATTTATTTAGAAATGGCCAGCATGTCTAAATGGAAAGGTATGTCATAATAATTACTAGGAGATACATGTAACCACATAGAATACAAAGTTTATTTACATCAAACTTACCTTGGTGTAACACATAAAATAATCAGATAATTAAACCAAACACTATGAAAGAATAAGTGGCTGATTTAAAAAAAAACAAAACAAAAAGCTGAATGCAGCGCAAGTGGAGCATTCATATTCTTCTGACAAGTTCACAAGCAGCCTTTATTTTGACACATGAGCCACACAATTGCACATGGGGATGCCATCGTTGTATTTAATAAAGTATTTACAAGTTTAATAAAGCTAAAGAGTTACATAACATGGCAGCTAAGGAAGCAAATGGCATATATCCACACTCTGAAGAATTTCTTAAATTTGGTTTTTGGCTAAAGCAAAAGCTCAAAGAACAAAGGGTTTTGCAAAGCAGATTCAGCAGACAGGAGCCAGAAACAGTGGATATTTTGGCGCATGCTTGGATCAGGTGACAGTACAGACTGAAAACTATGGCAGCTCACTGAAATGGTTACAGAAAGTAATGGCCCTAGATCCAGGTGAAAGCAAGGCAAGCATACAGTAGGGAGCACTTGATCACAAACTAGTCATTGGATTAACAATCATCATCTACAACTGTAAGCACGAAGCCAAAGGATGAATTTTTTGGCTATTAAATTTAGGGGTTGTTTAGTTAAAATTAAGATTAACAATTTATTTAATATTAAAGAAAAATTAAATTTGTCTTCAAAGCCTATATTATACTTATTCCAGAGATGAGCCAGAGAATATTCAAGTAGTAATTATGATTCAGCTTAACTCATTACAACTGAAAATTCAGAAATATCACAGTATTTAATCCCTATAATGGAATTTTTAAAGCTTAAAAACTGCTAACTACATCTTATGGGAAAGACACTAGTGAATTTGAATTATTTTATTCATCCTACAAAAGTCAAAATTGAGGATCTACCACACTTATATAAAAGGCAAAACAAAAAGTCTAGCTTAAAAATTTATGGCAACTATACATGCCATAAATGAAACTGGGTACCATTTAGTCATTTGAAGGCTATACAGCTGAGATGTGAGGGTGGCAATTAATAAACATTTCAGAGACGTCAAAAAAAAAATATCTTCACTTTAAATACCATGCTCCTCCCAATGATCTATAGAATTATTTATAATTATAAAAAGACATCATTTCAGGAGATATTACAATTTATTATACAAATTATATTTCATATATATTACATAAATTATATATATTATACAATCATATTTCAGACTATTTTATGTTTTTCTTCTATGGGTCAAAACTCTTCAGAGATAATATCACAAATCTTTTTTTTTAATTTATTTTTTCCCCCCAAAGCCCCAGTAGATAGTTGTATGTTATAGTTGCACATCCTTCTAGTGGCTGTATGTGGGATGCGGCCTCAGCATGGCCGGAGAAGCGGTGCGTCGGTGCACACCCGGGATCCGAACCCGGGCCGCCAGCAGCGGAGCGCACACACTTAACCGCTAAGCCACGGAGCCGGCCCCTCACAAATCTTTTAATAAATCCTTTTACCTATAGGCATGAACTGAGCTCTGTATCAGTACGCCACTGATGCCTCTTTTAGGGGTAATATCAGCACACTTGGGTTGACATCACAATTAATTCATTTTACTACTGTTACTTTTCTAGAGCATGGCCATAGCTTGATATCTTGCCATCTTTCTAGCATTTTATTTTGTTTCTGAAGTGCATGTGAAACTGGTAAAGGTTCCTAAAACGACAGTAATAGTTTATATCTCGGAAAGTAAAGAAGTGAACAATTCAACATAATACGCTTTTATAAAACTTAATCCCTTTGAGATTTTAGGCAATCACACACTTGTAACTAAGAAACAGTGACTACCTGAAGTGTTAAATTTAGTTCTATTTTTAAATAGCTCTGGGAGAGAATAACTCTGCCCTTGAGAATCTTTAAATCTGTGAAAGAAAAAAAAGAAATGAACAGTTATCCAATCTAATTTTTAAATGAACAAGAGGAGAGAAAGTTTTAAGTAGGATCAAATAAAGGTTTTTAATACAATAACAGTCTATCTTGTTAATGGACAGCATAAAAAGCTACATTCTCAAATACCAACCCCAAACAACCTATTGAAGAAGATAAATTTCCCCAATGAAATAGAAATCAGAGAGTTCAGGTTCAAGGGAGTATACAACCTCAAACTGGGTGGGGATTCAGTACCAGACTAGGAAGAAGAGTTGCACTACAGAGGAAGTGATATGCAAATTCAGAGCAAACATCAAGACATAGTAATTTGGGATGTTAGCATGGTAGCTGGCATATAATCCATGTTGGACCAAACTGGAGTATTCACTATTTGTAAAAAAGAAAAAAAAAAAAAAAAAAAGTGAGACATGCAATCCACTCCTTATTTGTGAAATTTTACTCTTTAAATATATATATAATATAACTGAAGACCAGTCATATTACAGAGAGAAAATTATATACTACACTTACATGTTACATTATAATAATTTAATGAATATCTAGTTACATTTCATATATATATACAAATGTGAAATTTCACAATTAAGGAGATTACATATCTGACTTTTTTTTAAGATAGTAAAGAATAGATAATAATGAATATCCAGTTACACTATACACAGAGAGAAAATTATGTTATATTTACATGTTATATTTTATATAAAGAAAAGCTCACATATCATACGTGCTACATTTACGCCTTCTTGAATTCTATATAACTACTTCCTGAAAACCTTATTAAAATACTGAAAACCAAAAACTGCTTAAGTACTTTAAGCTTAGTTTTGCACATCTCCTCATGAGTATCTCTCAGATGAAGTAAAAAGAAGAACTGCTGAGATCATCAGTAGAATTCAAGTTCCAAGGAAGC